CGCTGTTGAAGTCTCCTGGCCATTTTTACGCCAGGCGCCCTTATCAGCGGGGTCTGAGGGCTGGGCTTCCCACTCCATGTCCCTGCACCTGCGACCTCCTCCCCTTGCCCGCCCTGGGGTCCTTCACCCCCACCCCACCCCTGGGCCCCACACTTGCCCTCCCGCACCCATTAGATACGCGCTCCGCATCTAGAACCCGGCTGTTGTCTGCTCCCCACTGAGTCCGGCTCAGAACAGCAGGTGCTGGCGAGGCAGCGCGGGGACAGGCACCCTGGCCTGGCCTGCTCCTCTCCTGGCCCCTGGCCCAGGGAAGGCCATGGTGAGGACCCTAGAGTGGTGGTGGGGCCGCGGGGGTCACCCGGGGCAGGGGCCAGCACGGCGATTCCGTCGGGGGAGGACGCCCACAGAAGGGAACCCCTGTCTGCCAATTCCAGAACCTTCCTCGCCCAGGGGACAGGGTGGGAGCGCCAGTGTCAGCCCTGTGCCGACTCGGTCGGGACGCTTGAAATGGCCCCTCCTCGGCTGTTTTCAGTGAGCCACGCATTTTCGCATTTTCGGGAGCTACTGATTTTTCGAATTGCGCTGGACGTTACACGAGTAAGTCTGGCAGCCCTAGCAGGGGCTGTAGTGGGGGAGCCCGGACTTAAAGCCTAGGATTCCCGACCCCAGCGCTTCTTCCAGGCGAACGTGGGCCTCCCCCTACCTGCGGGACCGCCCCTTGTTCTCTGGGCTCTGCTCTCCCTTTCTAGGAAAAGGGCCCTGGGGAATTCCTGAACCAGTCGCGGTCCCTTTAAAAGTGGTTTCGGGGGCGGGTTCACGGGGGCGTGTCGAACCCGGGGGCGTGTCGAGTCGGCGTTGGCCAATCCGGGGTCGAGCGGGCCGTGGGGGCGGGCCCGAGCGAGCGGACCGGGAAGGGTTAAAGGGGCGCACCCGCGGGTCGCGGACCGTCCGGCTGTCCCCGCCCCCTTCCGTCCGATCCTGGCTGTCCCGCGGCTGCGCCGGCCCTGCCGCCCGAGGGACAAAGCAACGCCGCCGCCGCCGCCGCCAAGCGGGTCCCGGACCGCGGTCGGGCCGACCCCCGGCCCCGCGCCTCCGCGGCCGCCGCCGCCCTAGGCCTGCGCGTCTGGGTAAGGCCAGCTCGGCGCGGGGACCTGCGGGCGGACCTGCGCGGGGACGCCGGATCCGGTTGGGCGCCCTGGGCCTCGGGGTTCCGCGGCCGCCCGGGGCGCACCCTGCTGGGGCCCTGCCCGTCGGCCACCTCGAGAACCGCCCCGCGGCGGGCGCCGGGGCTGCTGCTGTCCTTGAGGGAGCTCAGGAGCGCGCCCGCACGCGCCAGGCCACGCCACACCAGCACGCGCGGGCCTCTGCGGGGTGTCGCCCGGGTCCCGCCGGGGCAGCGCTGGACGGGGCTCAGGGCTCCCCCGCACGTGTTTTTCAGCGCGGCCGCCACGCCCACAGCCGGGGCAGGCTCCTCTCCTTGAGCTGAGTGCCCGGCCTCAGTTTCCCCAGTCTCCTGGGGGCTCTGCACTTTTCTCTGGAATGCGACCGCCCCTTCGGAGTTAGTTCATTCAGCCTGTCCCCAAGGGGCGGGCCCAGTGTCCCCATCTGGTGGACGAGGCCCAGAGAAGCCCGGTTCAGATGCTGAGTGGCTTTCCCGGGTTCGGCCCCGGCTTCCCCTGGAGCATCCAGCCTGGGCTGGCAGAGGCCGGGCCCCCTCCGGCTTCCTGCCCGGCGGCACAGGCTGTTGACTCAGCAGCAGTGCCGGACTCTGAACTTGCTGGAAGCGTGCAGGGGAGATAAGCCGGGGCCCAGGCTCTCCCTCTAGGCCAGGCTGGGGACACTGCACTGCAGGCGGCAGGGGGTGGCTCTGCTGCTGGCCCCCTGCGGGCAGCCGGGGAGGAGGGCCTGGGGGCTGGGAGACCCCAAGCTCACCGCTGTGTGTCTGTGGGCAGGGACTTAGCCTCTCCACGGCTCACTTTTCCTCCTCTGGGAAGGCGTGGGGGCTGGGGACTGTTGAGAGGCCCAGGAGGCACCTGTGGGAATCTGCACACCTGCGACATGCCAGGCACGGACTTCAGCCAGAAGCTCCGCCCCAGAGCAGGCGACCGTGACCCAGGTAATTCGGTTTGGCATCCATGGGCTGTCCTGTGCAGAGGGTGGCCGGGGGCTGCTGGCCCAAGGTCATGGTCACCACCAGGGATGGTAAGAAGGCGGCCGTGTGTGTGTGTGTGTGGGGGGGGTGTATCACAGGCAGACATCAGCCTGGCAGAGACCCTGGGGTGGGGGCGCGCCTGGGGAGCCGTCCCGGGGGTGGGAGCAGAGGGCATCATGGGGCTGGGTCCTAGGAGCTCCCTCGCTGGGGAGTGGGTTCTGTGGGGCTGCGTGGATTGGACCTGACCCTGAGGTCAGCGGACGGGCTGGGCGGCACCTCCCTGGCTGGGGCGGGGTGGAAGGGGGTGTGTATGCGGTGGACAGAGATGAGGGCAGCAGGTGGGACCTCGGGGGGTCGGAGGTGGGAGGAGCGAGAAGCCTGGGGCCCTGGGCTGGCACAGGAGACACTGGAGGGGCGTGGCGGGGAGGGCGGCGCAGCCCTGCGCTGGTGCCTTCCGTGGGGTCCCCATGGCCGCGTCCTCACCGCCCTGACTTGCGACCCCGCTGTGTGGATGCAGAAGCTGAGGACCAGAGAGGCCGGGAGCTTGTCGGGGACACCCAGCCCAGACCCCGCACGGGTGGCGTTTGACCTCAGAGCAGAGCGAGCCGGCCAGGAGCTGGGGACGCCAGCGCTGCCTGAGAGGTAGGAGGGGCAGGGAGGGTCCCCATGGGAGTGAGGGGGCAGGGGCGTGCGAGGTCCACTTTGCAGGGGGAGAAACCGAGGCTGAGGGGCACAGCCCCGAGTGAAGTGGGCGGCTCAGGGAGGCAGAGTGGGGGTTAAACACGCTGAGCCCCGGGCCCCTGGTCTTGGTCCCCCCGCCAAGCCCTGGCCCGCATCTTGATCCAGGTGATGTGTCCCTCTGGGACGGCATGCCCCTTCCACGCACTGCGTCGGCCCCGCGGCCCCAGGCCCACGCACACAGGGCCGTCGCCTGGCTGTTCCCTCTGCCTGCCGTCCCTTGTGTGGGGGGGGCAGGGGACTCTGCTCATGTGGCACCTCCCAGCTCCGCCCCTGCTGCTCTCCTTGGCCCCGGCACTGCCGACCCCTTCTCCTTTCTCCCAGCGCACGGAGGACGCGGCGGGCAGACACTGCGCCTGGCGGCAGGGACCCTGACCGCCCGCTGTCCTGTGTCCCTCGTGCCTGGCACACACAGCAGGCGCTCACCGCCCTGTTTCACGCATGGACAGCCGGAGGCCTCGTCATGACCTCAGAGCTGGGAGCCGGCGGGGACCACGGAAGGCGGCCAGGCACGGTGGCGCAGGCCTGGGTTTGAGTGTCGGCGCTGCTCGGCTTGCCTTGGGAGCCGGGCGAGTGGCTGACTGCTGCGTGCCTCGGTTTCCCCGTCTGTGAAGTGGGAGTGAGGAGAGGTTTGTGGGAGATTAAACGCGGCACTAGAGAATGTTGGCAGGTGGGGGCCGTCTCGGCAGCAGCTCAGGGAGGCTGGCTCGGGGGCGCCCGGCCTGGCCCGGGTTCCAGTCGCATCTCAGCTCCTTGGGAGCCCAGCGAGCCTCCGTTTCCGCTGAGACCCGGGGGTCGGGGTGAGCCCCGCCGCGGCCTGGCGCCATGAAGCTGAATGAACGCAGCCTGGCCTTCTACGCTACGTGCGACGCGCCGGTGGACCACGCGGGCTTTCTGCGCAAGCAGGGCGCCGGCCGGCCGGCCGCCTCGCACCGCCGCTGGTTCGTGCTGCGGGGCAACCTGCTCTTCTACTTCGAGGAGCCGGCGGCGCGCCAGCCGCTCGGCGTCGTGGTGCTGGAGGGCTGCACGGTGGAGCTGGCCGACGCCGCCCAGGACTTCGCCTTCGCCGTGCGCTTCGCCGGCGCCCGGGCCCGCACCTACGTGCTGGCCGCGGACAGCCAGGCCGCCATGGAGGGCTGGGTGAAGGCCCTGTCGCGAGCCAGCTTCGACTACCTGCGCCTGGTGGTGCGGGAGCTGGAGCAGCAGCTGGCGGCCATGCAGGCGGGGGGCTGCCCGGCCCCGCCGCGCCGGCCCAAGGAGAACGGCTGTGCTGTGTGGAGCATTGAGGCCACCCCCGCCTGTGCCGCGGCCGGGCCCGGGCTCCCGCCCCCGCCCCCGCGCCGGAGGGCCTCGCCGCCACACGGGCCTCTGGACGGGGTGCCCTTCGCGCAGCTGCACGAGTGGTACGGGCAGGAGATCCAGGCGCTGAGGGGCCAGTGGCTCAGCAGCCGCGCCCAGCCCTGAGGTCCCAGAGCTCCTGCTTCTGCCACGCCGTGGTCAAGGCCAGCCCCGAGGGCCGCTGCTGGACTCTGGGGGACTCGGCCCAGCCCAGCTGCGGGGGCGGGGGGCAGTGTGTGCCCGTCCTAAGGAGAAGCCCAGGCCCCAGACCCGGCCAAGGCAGCAGCTGGGGCCTGACCGGCCCACTGGACGTCCGCTCCGCCCTGGCAGCTCCTTCCCGGGCCCTGGGTGTGGACAGAGAGGGCCCGGCTGGCCTGGCTCCGGGAGGCAGGTGGAGCTCTCAGGGGCTGAGCAGGGGCTGAAATGGCCTGGCGCCAGGGCCCCCCCACGGCCTCCCGTCACTCCTACACTGCATCCTTGGTCCCTCCTGGGAGCAGTGGCTGCCCCACGGCTGGGGCGGGGCCTCGGGAGCTCAGCTGACCTGCAGCGCTGGGCTGGGCAGTGCAGCCCGAACTGACCTTCCGGCAGGTTCACCCAGGGAGGCGAGGCACGAGCTGACTCACGGCCCGGAAGTGCCCAGGTGCTGGCTGGGGGTGGAGCTCTGGCTCCTGGGCCCTCCCCCCACCCCTGCCCTTGGCAGGTGCAGCCACTGTGCCCGGCTCACTGCCGGCCTCTTCCTCTGCTCACTGCAGTGCCGCTGTCATCCAGGGCCGTGAGCCTGGCCCTCCCCCTGGAGTGTTTACAGCCCCCGCGCCTGGGCCCCTTCAGTTCCCTGAGGGCTGCCTCTGGGGGCACAGACTCAGCTCACTGCCCCTCCCGCCTGTCTTTGGGGGGACACGGGCGGGTGGGTGTGAATTTGACCTCTAAGTATCTGGGGAGGGGTCTCCTCGTTTACAGGGCTTTTGTTTGCTGCTGGCTGGGGGACTGGCCCTGCTCCCTCTGCCTGGCGCCCCGCCCTCCCCCAGCAGGTACGGCTGGGGTCCTGGTGCGCCCTCTCCCCTCCCTGCCTTGCAGGGTGCACTAGGAGCTGCCCAGGGCCCTGCGTCCCGGCCAGAGGCAGCTGGCGGGGTGTCAGCCCCGGTCCAGGTTTCCAGACCTGAGGGTACGCAGCCCTGGTCGCCCCCTTCCCATGGTACGAGGCGTGGGAGGGAAGACTCCGGGGCTACAATAAAGGTTTGTCAGGGAGATGGCTCGTGTCATTTGTCCCCACCCGAGCCCTCCGCGATTTCTCTGGGAGTGTGCGTCCCTCGTGGCTGGGGGCCAGCCCGGCCCCTTCTCCCAGCCGCCTGAGGCCGACACCAACCCCATTTTCCAGATCATTGGGAGATTTGCCACAGCCCGCCCTGCCGGAGCGTGGCAGAGCCGGGGTGGAACGTTCTGGAGCCCTCGGCACAGGAGGGCCTCCAGGAAGGAGGTGGGGCTGATGGAGCACAAAGTCCTTTTTCGAATGGCAAGAAGTTTCCGGGGTGGGGGGGGAGGATGAGGGTTTGGAAGTCAAGTGCAGGCCGGAGACCTGGCAGATGGGGTGGTGGCTGAGCAGAGTCCAGATCGGGGTGGCAAGGGCGGGCCGAGGCCTGGCTCTTCTCGCTGGGGTGCCAGCCTGCGGCGGCTCGGAGGTAAAGGTTGGTGGTCCACCAGCCGGGGAGGGCAGTGGCGCTCACTGCACGGATCTGCCGTCCTGGGGGGGTCCGCTGGCTCAGAGGGGAGAGGCTGGCCAGGGTGGCCTTGGGTATTCCTCTTAGGGACCCGGTCTCCCTCGCCAGCCCGGGAAAGGGCACGCTTAGGAAGACGGGCCTACTCACTCAAGCTCAAGTTCAGGAAGGGAAGCTGAGCCGGCCGGGACTCAGACCACTCGTGAGCGCCCTGAGCAATTCTTCCCGTCTCCTGGGGGGCTCAGCCCACTCGTGAGCTCCCCGCACAGGCTGAGTCAGGGCACCGCTGTGGCCTCTGACCGCAGGCGCAGGATGGGGAAATGCAGGGGAGACGGCTCCAGGGAGGGGTGCTTCCTGCGAGCCGGCCACGGGGAACACGCGGGGAGGGGCTCAGGGCACTAGCCTAAGGGGGATGCTGAGGAGCCCCCGGGGTGGGGGCTGCCCGCCCTAGCACCCGGCCACCCCGAGTGCCCCGCTGCTGCTGGCCGCCTTGCAGGGGTGGCCTGAACCTTAGCTGCCGACCGACGCTGTGGGACCCAACAAGACGTGGGTGGAAGGGTCTTCTAGAAAGGTACAGAGACTCTCCATTGTTCTCTGCAGGGGGGCTGTGTCCATGACGCCTGGAGCTGTGGCAGCAATCTTGTGACAATAAAGTTGGCTGTTTTCTAAAGAAAATGCCTTGGTGGGGTGTAGTGGAGGGTTAAGCTGCTGCCTGCCACGCCAGCATCCGACATCAGAGCTCAGGTTCAAGTTCCGGCCGCTCTGCTCTGACCCTGCTCCCTGCTAATGTGCCTGGGAAGGCGGCAGAAGATGGCTCTAGTGCTCGAGTTCCTGCCGCCCATGTGGGAGCCCCGGGCTTCGGCCTGGCCCGGCCCTGGCCATTGTGGGCATTTGGGGAGTGAACCAGCGGAGGGAAGACCTCTGTGTCTCTCCCTCTTTGTTAACTCCGCCTTTCAGATACATAAAAATATATCGTGAACATAATCTCTGTCTCTGCCTTCCAAGTAAAATGAAAATAAAATTCGTAAACATGGTGAGAAGGGTGCCTTTCGTTAAGTGCCGTTCGCCACAGCAGCAAGGAGGTGTGGCCAGGTCTGGGGACGGGGTCCCTCGCTCCCCCTGCGCCTGGCTGTGGTTGTGGCCGGCCTTGCCCCCAGTCCCGAGGGCGTCTGGGTGCTGCTTCATGGCCCAGGGCACAGCTCTCGCCGTTTCTCTGGCTGCAGGCCGAGATCCCAGGGCAGGGCCCCCAGGCCCAGGGGGTGGGGGGGAGGGAGGCAGCTGCTGGAGGGCGGGGCCCTGGCTGCCTCCTCCGGGTGCCCCCCGGGCCTGGCCCTGAGAGGCCTCACAAGGTTCCCCGTCTTGGACTTGCAGCTGCCAGGACAAGGTCAGTCCCGAGACCCCCGCTGAGCCCACGGCCTCAGATACCTGCACCGGGGATCCAAACAGGCCTGAGGCCCAGGCAGGGCCCCTGACGCCCCCAAATGCTGCCGATGGGGGCGATGGTTTCAGCCAACCCAGCAGCTCCGGATGCCACCGGGCCCAGATGACGGGACTCGCGGGGCCACAGATCCGAGGTCGTCAGTGTGCACCTGAACCCCGCAGCACCCTCAGAATGCAGATTCCTGGGCACTGGCTCTGAGGAGCTGGGTGAGGAGGCTGGGCGGGGCAGCTGGAAGGGATTCTAGGACCACAGGCCAGGAAGCAGCTTGGAAGGCAGTGTGGGGTCCCCGCTGGGGGAGACCGGGGGCCCACACGGCGCAGGCCCCCCACGCGGCGCCCCGGCCGGCCTCGGGGGCCTACAGAACACTGGATGGCGGCGACGGCGCTTCCCCACGCAGGCCGCGGAAGCCCGGGGAAGGCAGCTCGGCGCCGTGTGGACGCCCAAGCAGCCATGTGGAGAGGCGCAGCCGGGCAGAACTGAGGCCCCAAACCCAGGGCCGGCACCAACCCGAGGCCCCTGAGCGCACTCAGCTCACGGCACGCTCATCAGGGTCCAGCCCCCAGAACCCGGAGCGGAGCCACTCCCGAATTCCACGGAGCCACGCGGCACCGGCCACATCCGCTTCAGGCGAGGAGGCGGGCAGGGCTCTCAGCTGACCCAAGTGGCTCCTGCAAGGGCAGCCCGGCTTCCACAGCCACACGGACCTGGGCCTCGGCTCTGCAGGGCTGGGCGTCCCCAACGCTCCTGCCCCCTGGTCACGGTCACGGGCGGTCCCCTCGGTGAGGTTTCTCTTTGCACTCACCAAGAAGGGGCCGGGAGGGAGGCTGCTGGCTGCAGGGTGGCCGCGGAATGAGGAGAGGGAGGGGGTGAGGGTGGGCAGTGAGGGGCGTGGAGACACGAGCCAGGGCCCCCTCCCCCAGCTCCTCAGAGTGCAACCTCCTGCCTCGACCCCACGGCTGCCCAGGACCCTCCAGGTGGGGCGGGCACCATGCCAGCTGCTACAACCTCCCTCGCCCCCCCCAACCCCAGCTTCCTCGGGATGCCCCCGCAATGTCCTACGCCAGCCCCACCTCTTGCCTGCTCTTCCCTCTGCACACCTCTGCTTAAGCGGGGGGGGGGGGGGGGGAGGACATTCGCCAGACCGCCCCAGCTCCACCCCCTGCTCTCCCCACCCCCAAGCCCAGGGCACCTCCTCCTGGGAGCCTCCTGGCCGCCGCCTCCCTCTCAGCTCAGCCCTCCACAGCTCTGCCTTCAGGACAGGGGCCGAGGGCCTGGAGGGGAGCGTCCCCCCGGAGCAGCGGCTTCCTCAGCCCCGCAGCTGCTCCCGCCTGCCCCTGCATCACCCGCGCAGCCCTGACCTCTGGCCCTCTCAAGAGCTGTGGCCCGGGGGCCCCGGGGCCAGTCCTCCACCTGCTTCCCGTCTTCCCATCCACTCTGCAAGGGGTTGTCACACGGCCACTGTGGGGGGGGAACCGCGGGTTAGGCACTGGCTCCACGAGGCGGGGCTGGGATGGGAAGCCCCCAACCCTCAGGAGCTGCGGGAGGGTGGGGGCTGTGCCTCACCTGGTGCCGACCCCACGCGTCTCCCCAAGCGCGTGCCCAGGAGGCCCAGGGGCCGCCCCACCGGGCTGGGAGCAATTCCTTCTCCTGAGCGAGGCGGGAGACGCGGGGTAGTCACGCTCCGGGCCCCCAGGCCCTCCCGCACTGCACCTCCCGCACGGACACAGCCCTGCCCTCCACTCACGCTCACGAGCTCCTGCTCCGGGCGTCCGGGCGCACGCTCACAGGTCACGCACGGAGCGCTCCTCGGGACGATCATCCGAGCTGGCTGCTAGGACGCCCCCGTTTCACAGACGAGAAAACTGAGGCCCTAGTTGGGAAAGGTCCACGCTGTGCTGGACGCTAGGAAGCCCCCCCCCCCCCCCCACCGCTGCCGGCATTTTCCCACCAGCAGGCCGAAGGCCCCAGCCACTCTCACATTCTGTGGGGCTGGCACAACTTGTACCCTGGCTGGGCTCAGTGGCCTGGGGCCACTGATGTGGAGCCACGGGGCCCGGGTGGGTCATGGACTGTGCCCCGGCTAAGGACGGCCACCCCTCCACCCGCTGCAGCCACGTCAGAACCCGGCCCAGTGTGGCCGCGCCTACGGCTGTCAAGAGAAGCGGTCAGCGTGGTTTTTCTGGGACATGCCCTGTGTCTTAGAACTGGCAAACAACTCAAAACCCAGTGCGTTTTGTGGGAGTGGCCATTGAGAGCCACAGGTCGGACGCTCTCGCCCCACAGTGGGCTGTAAGGGTTTGAGTCCCAGCTCTGGAAGACCTCGGAGGCAGCAGGGGATGGCTCCAGGAGTTGGGTCCTGCCACGGGCCCCTGGCTCCGGCCCCGGTCCCGGTATGGCCGCAGTCACGGGCCCCTGGCTCCGGCCCCGGTCCCGGCATGGCCGCAGTGAGCCAGCGCATGGGAGCTCGCGCGCTCTCCAATAAGAAACGAACACATTCTGGAACACCCGATCCCCGGCCTCGGGACAGAGACACGAGACACCGGGCTAGTATACAATTCTGTATTTAGCGACTCGTTGACAGAACGCGTTCCTTTTTTTTTTAAATTTTAAACAAAGTTCATCAATCTCTCATAGAAATGGTTTGGTGTGGGTTTTTGCTCTCTGACCGTTTCGGGACGAGAACCTGACCAGGCTGTTCGGGGGTCCGTGAGCTTCAGGCACAACAGGATCTGCGTGTTCCGGAGCCCGGGCCGAGTGCTGCGGCAAATCCCGTCCCACTGAGGCCAGACGCAGGGCTCGCGGAACCCGAGTCAGCGTGGCGGCCTGGATCGCGACGTCGTGTTGGTGTTGGGAATAACAAGTGCTGGTCCCCCACGCGTGTCCTGATTGTTAACAGGGCGGCGGTGTCTCACTTGTTCCAGATTTGACTACTCCGAGAATTGGCCACTGTTTTCTATTGTCAAAATATAAAAATACCTTCATCTGGATAAAAATGTAGACAGTGGAAAACTCTTCAATGCATAGCCTGGGTGAAGGGAGGAGGTTCTCCCGCAGGGTTCTTGCCGGCTGGAGACTGCGGCCTGGGCTGGGTGCGTGAGAGCTGGGATTTCTGCAACGGTCCTCACCTGTCCCCCTCTGGCCACCTCGCCTCCGTCGGCTCCCCCCAGCCCCCCGGCACTGCACTGGCACCGGCCGCGGTCACCTCTCCATGGTTATTCTTGGGAGTCGCCCAAGTCAGTCTTCCCACAGAGTTTGAGAAAGGAAAACAAACAAAAGCAAGAGAGTGAGAGACTCAGCAGCCAATGGGGCGGCCGCTCCATCCGAACCGGAGACCGGGCCGCTGGGGAGGGGCTCCTCTGCTGGGAGGGGGTCCGGTCCCGGCTGCCCGGCAGGTCATGCAGTAGAAGGCAGGGGTGGCTCAGAGCCCGGGACGGAGGGTGCTGCTGCTATCTGGCCCGGCCCAGGGGCCGCTGAGGAGGGGAGGCGGGGGAGGGGAGGCGGGGGAGGGGCACGCGGGCTCTCGACTTCGAAGGGTCGACGTTTCGGTGCTGGTTGCTAGGTCTCAGTGCTCGTGCAGTGACCAACACCGTCACTTTCCAAAAGCACGGAGCAGGCGAGGGGTGGCCACGGTCTTGCTCGGGAGTGCCCACGTCAGACCGCGGGGACGCTTCCCAGGCTGGGGCACGGTGTCACTGTGGCTCTGGCGCCACCCTCCGAGCGCCTGGCCCCGTGCCCGGCTTTCTGAAAGATCTGGAAACACTTCTCGTCTTCAGACGTCCGTGGCCCGCGGGCTCTCCCCCGGGAGTGTAAGCAGTTCTCGTGCCGCACCGTGTCTCGGACGGGCGTCTACAGTGTCTGCGTCAGCACGGGACGCTCTGTGTCACCAGGGCTGCAGGGACACATCCCCGATGGCACGGCGGCGTTCGTTTAGAGTCTTTCGGACTTTGCTTTCTCAGCACGGGTTCTGGCAGGGCAGCAGCACTGCGCTGTGTCTCACAGACAGGTGTGGGGGGGACTCGCAGTGCCAAGGCTGGCAAGACGCTGGTCAGTCTCTTAGTGTCTTGTGATGGCTTTGAGCAATTGTCTTCTTTTAATCTCATCTTGTGGCAAAAGCGACACAACTTCAGTGTAGACTTCGCAACAGTTGTGACAGCATCCTGATTTTATAACTCTCTGTAATATCAAAACAGCATCGGCTGGGAATAAATTCCAAAGGATCCTTTATTAAAATATCTAAAAGAGGTCTATAAATATTTATTTATTTTTCTAAAAGAGTTTGGAGTTTTCAGGTGAAAACGTGGTGCCATTTTGCTTCTGCCTCCTCGGAGGGGTGAGGGGGAGAAGAGGGGCGAGACCCCCGGTGCCTCCTGGGCCGATGGTGCTGAGAAGAGACGGCAATGGCATTTGCCCCGCTGGCTCACTGCCAACTTCATGGAACCGGGATACAACAAAAAACGTAAACGGCCTAACATCACTGTCCACACTTGGATGGCTGAGTCCGTCCCTCCCCACCCTGCCCTGAGCGGGGGTGGGAGGGAGAGAAGGAAGCTGGTCCCCAGGGTGTCCCGCCCCCTGCCCTGCCTTCAGAACTCCCACTCCAGGGCCTCCTCCCGATTGGCGGCCCTCTCCAGCCGGTAGATGATGCTGTTCAGGTTGGCCATCTTCTCGTGCCGCCGCTGCAGATTGGGGTTCACCTTGGCGCTGGGGTGCAAGGCTCCAGTTGTGTCGGCAGTGGGGCTGGCACTCGGCACTTTGGCAGGGGGGGCGCCAGGTGGGGATGGGGAGATGGGGGCTGAGGAGGAGGGGACAGGCGACACAGACATCATAAGGCCTGGTGAGGAGGCAGCTGAGGGCGAGTTCAGCGACACCTCCAGGCTGCAGCGTGAGGACTCTGAGGCTGACTTAAAGCTCAGAGGGTCTGAGTGCGGCCGCTCTCCAGCCTCGGCCTCCTGCGGCGGGTGTTGTGAGGGGCAGTCTGGAATGGTGGCACCTGGAAGGAGGGGCCCTGAGGCCACTCCTGGGAGTCCGTCATTCCCCGGGGAACCGGAAGGCTCCTCTCGGGGGGCACGCTGGTCGTGGTCCGGCTCCCCTGCGTTCAGGGGTGGGTGGCCCGTCCCTCTCTCCGCATCCTCCTCCACTTGTTCCTGCTTGATCACCACGTGCGCCTTGTCCTGGCTGCCCAGGGCTGTGACGCTCTCCTCGGAGCCCTCTGGAAGCTCCAGCTCCTTCACGGTCGGCTTCTGGTCCTCGGCCTCGGAGTCGGGGCTCTGTGGGGTGGGGTCTGGGTGGGAGTGGCCTGGCGGGAGGATGCCGGGACCCCCGCTTGGGTCGAGGTCTGGCTCGTCTTGGGTCCCCTCCACCAACATCTCCCGGCGCATCCGGGACCTGGGGCAGAGACGGCCATGAGCCTGGGCTGGAACCCTCTGCCCTGGACTTGATGACCCCACCCACTGCCCGGGGGGACTCCCAAAGCTAAGAGGGGCTCCTGGCGTTTTCTCTGTGGACATGCTGCTGCCCCCTATCCCCACGGCCTGCACCAACAGGAACAGGGGCAGAGCCCACAGACACTGGGGTGGGGGCTTTGCTGCATTTTCCGTGGTGTCTGGTGCTCAACAAACATTTGGCCAAATCCCACATTCTTCTGTAATTGGTAGGCTCCGAGTTACTTCTCTCGAGAGCAGCATTCTCTCTGTTCCTTGGTGCAGACTCCTACTCGACCTTCAAAACCAAGCCCAACACCACCTCTTCCACGAGGTCGCCCCTCTGGAAGCAAAGGACGAATTCCCCTCTCTCAAAGCTCCTTCCTGTCTGACAGCACTGCTGCACTCTGGGACGGGACTGCAGGCTGCTTAGGGGCGGGGACGTTGGCTGTGAACCCTGTATCTCTGGCCCCTGGCTCAGTGGGCGTCCATCGCAAATGCGATGGAGGGGAAGGGCGAGGCAGGGGCTGCCGCCCACCCGCCTGCCGTGTGGCAGGCCTGGGTCTGGGCCAGGCCTCAGGCAGTGTTTCCCGCAGTCCGCTCCAACTGACCACACTCCGGCACTGGGGCAGCTATGGGGGCCCTCCCCGGACATCCCACAGCCCCAGGGCCCCGCCTGCGGCCACACGGCCAGAGCTCTAGGCAAAGTGCTCCTCCTTCTCCTCCTCCCTGCCTGGGGAATCTGGTGGGGGCTCCCTGCCCATGAGGCTGTCTCCTCAGGGGTCCCTCAGCCAGCGCAGAGCCGCCCTGGCACCACACTGCAGGCCAGTGGCTGCCCGGATGAGGGCTGGGCCGTGGGGAGGCAGCCACTGGAGGGGAACCCAGCAGGCGCCCCCACAGCCCTTAGCCTGCTCTGGCCGCGTCTGCGCGGGCTGGGGTAGGCGCAGGGCCGCCGCCCGGCCCACCTGTAGTTGTGGAACCAGTTGATGACGGTGTTGGTCTTGAGGTTGAGCTGGAAGGAGAGCAGCTCGATGGTCTGCTGCGAGGGGTAGGGCTCCAGCTGGTAGGCCCTGCGCAGCGCCTCCTTCTCCTCGGGCGCCAGCACCACGCGCGGCTTCTTCATCTGCAGCAGGCTCACGTCCTGGGGCTGCAGGCAGGGGCTGGGGCACTCGGAGCGCGCGGCGGGCGACTCGCTGTCCGAGCCCGTGCTGACCAGGCCGTAGCGGCGCTTCAGGTAGGCTGGGTGGGAGGGAAGGAGGCGGCTGCTGAGAGCAGGGCCGGCTCCCGCCCTGGGCCACCCACTCCCGGGGGGGCGGGGGGAGCACACGGAGCACACGGAGGGCGTGGTGATGGCAAAGCAGCCACTGCTGTGCGCGGGACACCAAAGGGCATGGACCAAAGGGCTCGAAGCCACAACCTCAGAAGCACCCTCCGTGGTCAGAATGAGGGACACGGGTCACCGCAGCATGGAGGAGGGAGGGGATCAGGGCCTCACTGGATCCTCAGACAATGCCGCCAGCCGGGGCCCAGCCTTGGCCCTGCCCCAGGCGCCCCTCGCAGTGTGGCTTCGCCTCGGTGCACAGGAGCTGCCCTGACGCCGGGGGACCCCTGTCCAGCTTTCCTCTGAGCTCCCGGCCTGGCCCGTGCTTCCCTCACTCAGAGGCGCTCCGGGCTGCGTCCTCTACCAGGGACCCGAGGGGGACGTGGCTGAGAACGAGCAACCTCCTGCCCACGGCCACCAGGCAGCCTGTGAGCTGGCTCAGTGTGCACCCGGCAGAGGTGAGGGACGTGGCAGGAGCCGGGGCCTGCAGCGAGGCAGTGCTTGTGGAGGTGCCGCGGGGGCTGCGGGGTCGCAGGAGGGAAGCGAGAGGCAGGGACTGCGTTCCCGAGGCGGGCAAGGCAGACGTTCCAAGCGGCTCTGGCGGGACTGTTGTGCACACAGTGCCGTGCCCGGCAGAGACGGCACGGCCGAGGCCCTGTGGCTGAGTCACACCTAGGTTTCATTCCAAGGGGACACTGAGGACGCCCAGAGCTGGGCCCACCCTCTGCCCAGTCCTACCTTTCTTCTCCAGCTTCTTCATGTCCCTCAGCTTCTCCACGTTGTGGGGGTCACTGAGCCACAGCTGCATACGCACAAAGGGCTCCCGCCCCTTCAGGCTCAGCTTGTGCCAGGGTTTGGGCCGCGACAGCAGGTCAGACACGGAGCCCTGTGTCAGGCCTAGGATGCTCTCCCCAAACAGCCGCTGCCCTGGGGACAAGGGAGGAGGGCGACCTGTCACCCCAGGCTGGGCAGAGAAGCCCACTCCCAGGAGAGACAACGAACAAGCCGGAGACCCGGGGTGGGCTCGGGGCACTCGCCACTGCCTCTGGCCGGGGGCCAGAGACGTGGGGGAACCCACACTCGCCACGGAGCCGACATGGACCTTTCCACGTAAGAGACGCTGTGGGGAGTAACGAGACAGTGACTAACACAAGTGGGTTCTTCATCCCAGGGGATCCCTGAAATTGCCTGCAAACTTCATGCCTGCAACTTTGCAGCATCTCGTAGAGGACAGCTTGCAGACTCCGTCTGGATTCTCAGTGTGCACATCCTCTGACCTGGCATCCTGCTGCTGGGCACTCGCCCCGCGGTGACACCTGCCCCAGTGCACAGAGGCGCACATGTGTTTTTAAAGGCAGTGGGAAACTGGAAACAAAAAAATGCCCATCAGCTGGGCGACAAAACAGCTGCATCCATGGCCTGAAACACTTGCAACAGTGTAAAAGACACGTGAGCCCTGAAATCCTCCAACTGGGCAGGGGACCAGCAGCTGCAAAACAGCACTCGGGTTTCAAATGCAAGCACAAGACAAGGGGGGTACAATTTCATTACACAGAAAAGAGACGAGACGAGGTGTACGCATATCCTCGTGTGTGTTCAGAAAGTGTCGGAGAAACAGAAGGAGCGTGACTCAGAGACTGGGTGCTATTTCCTTATTTTTTTAACTAATTTTTCCCCTTATACTGTTTGGTATTTTAAAACAATGAGTATCCTTGACCTTGAATCGACCCTGGAGGCTTCCTGGTCAGGCTGAAAGGCCTGTGAGAGCATCTCAGGCATGGGAAGCCAAGACTCTGTGGCAAAAAAATATCCTGCACGGAGGACCTCTGTGAGACCTCAGTGGAAAGAAGGGGCCATCAAAGAAGGAGACACTCTTCTCGGAAGGGAGAGAGAACTTCCACTTTGCTCATGGCCGTGTCCAAATACCAATGGAGTCCATGGTCACAGAGGGCTTCCATAGCCGTGGCAGCCCATGGCAAGAGCCTCGGGTGATCACTGACGTCATAAATAGGAGTGTTAATTGTTAAATCAACAACAGGAGTCACTGTGCACTTACTCCCCATGTAGGACCTCCATCCCTAATGAGTTGTACTATGAGAATCAACTGCAAATTTTGTTCCCAAACTGTACTCTATATGTTGTGTGTGTGCATGGGTGAAAACTGTTGAAGTCTAAGCTTAGCATGGAGTTGGTCCTCTATATAAGGTCAAACTAAAAATGAACCACAATGAAGAACACAATGAAGAAGGAGATGGGAGAGGGAGAGGGAGAGGGAGGTGGGATGGGAGTCAGGGCGGGGGGAGGGTGGGTATGGGGGAAAGAACTAGTGTATCCCTGAAGTTGTATCTTTGAAAAAAACGCGTTCATTAAATAAATAAAAAATAAAAGATAAAAGATATTTAGGAAAAAATAAAACAATGAGTATGTCTTATTTTGATGACAGACGTTCCAGGGAAAACTTTGGAGTCTGCATGGACCCTTCTGGGAGGGGCCCTAACCTGCATCTAAGACTCAGAGGAGTCTGCGACCCAAGCAGCGGGGGGTCCTAGAAGAGAGCTCTGCCGTGCCCTGGGCGGCACTGGCTGTCGCATCCCTGGGCCTCCTGCCAGGAAGCTGTGGGCACTGTGGGCGAGGGGTGCAGGTAGTTCAGACCCGCGTCCGCTCTCTTCCGCCCACTTGGGGAGGCAGGTCAGTCAGTCCCATGGAGGGCTGACAGCACCTTCCGGCTGGGGTCTGAGGGCGCCCTGCTGAGGCAGGCAGAAGCCGCCAGGGCAGGAGGCTGTCCCTGGTTCTGCCACCCCGTACCTAGGTTGTTGTCTGTGAGGACCTCCTTGACTCTCTTGGTGATGGAGTAGGTGTCCAGCTCGGGGGACATGGCCACCATCTCCTGGATGCCGCCTGTGGCCTGGCTGCCCGAGTACATCTTCCCGCCGGTGGAGGAGCCGGCGCGGCCCTCCGGCTGCTGGTTCTCCTTGCTGCTCTCCAGCGACAGGCTCAAGGGCTCCTGGGAGCTCTTCTCAGGCTCAGCAGGACTAGGAGGTGGCGACGGGGAGGACCGTGGCTCCGTGGGGCTGGCTGTGGGCACAGAGAGACAGAGGTCACTGCAAGCTGGTGTGGATGCTCACAGTCAGGGCGGCTGGCCTGACAGAGCCACGTGCTGCTGACCACCCATTCTGCGGCCACCACAGCCAACATCTCAGGAACGGACCAGCCTGGACACTGAGCCGTTGCATGGAAGGTCGATGGTGAAAAGGATGTTCACCAAGTCTCCGTGTGTCTCCACCGCAAGGCACTTCGTGCATAAATCTCTCTCTGTTACACACACACACACACACACACACACACACAGTATTACCAGGACAACTGAAGAAACGTGAATAAAGATGGAGGTTACACAGGAGTGCAGCGTCACCGGCAGGCGTCATCATTTATTTTCATTACATTTGAAAGCGAGTGGCGGGGAGAGACAGAGACAGGCAGAAGCGACACAGACTGTTCCTTCAGCTGCGGTTTCACCCCCGAATGCCTGCGACAGCCAGGCTGAAGCTGGGAGCCTGGAGTTAAACCTGGGTCTCCCGCATGGGTGGCAGGAAACCAAGTACTGAGTCACACCGCTGTCTCCAGGGTGCGCCAGCAGGAAGCTGGAGTCGGAAGTGGAGCTGAGAACTGGAGCAGGCCCTGTGACACGGGATGTGGGTGTCCTAAGTGGCTGTTTGGCCGCTGTGCCGACAGCTCCCCTCTCAAAGCCTTGTGTCCCTGGGAGATCCCCGCGGGAGCATTTAGGGCTGAGGGGACATAACGTCACGGTGCACAGACGTGGCAAAGTAAGTAACTGGTGACTCATAGGGAGTTCGCTGTTCCGTGGTTCGTTTGTTCTGTAAATCAGAAATGCCAGCAAAATGCAAAGTTAAGCAATCATAGAAAGAAAAAAAAGCCCACCAAGGCCAGCACCACGCGCAGCAGGTTGAGCAGCCTTCGGTGGCGCCAGTGTCCCGGCACAGGGCACCGGCCGGAGTCCCTGCTCCTCTGCTTCTGACCCAACTGCCAGCTAGCATGGCTGGGGGCAGCAGGAGAGGCCCCTGTGCTCGGGTCCCCCCGGGAGACTCAGGTGAAGCTCCTGGCTTCGGCCTAGCCCAGCCCGGCTGGTGTGGCCATCTGGGGAGTGAACCACAGGACAGAAGACCTCTCTGTCTTTCAAAAAAATAAATCAAAAATATCTTTAGGCCGGCGCCGCGGCTCACTAGGCTAATCTTCCACCTGCGGTGCCGGCACCCTGGGTTCTAGTCCCGGTTGGGGTGCCAGTTCTGTCCCGGTTGCTCCTCTTCCAGTCCAGTTCTCTGCTGTGGCCCGGGAGTGCAGTGGAGGATGGCCCAAGTGCTTGGGCCCTGCACCCCATGGGAGACCAGGAGGAGGCAGCTGGCTCCTGGCTTCGGATTGGCGCAGTGCCGGCCATAGCAGCCATTTGCAGGGTGAACCAATGGAAGGAAGACCTTTCTCTCTGTCTCTCTCTCTCACTAACTCTGCCTGTCAAAAAAAAAAAAAAAATCTTAAAAAAAAAAAGGGCCAATAACTGCACAAGCCCAAACGCAGGAGATAACAGTGTGCGGTGTGTCACGTGGCAGCCAACATACCACGGAAAGACAGCCCACGCACACGGCCACGTGGAAAGGCGAGGTGTTTTTTTTTTTTTTTAAACCACGTTCCCAGCATGCATTAGCAGAGCCAGCAGGGAGGGCAGTTAAGCGGGACGAGCTGGCCGAGCCTCCGCGAGGGTCCCTGCGAGGGAAGCACTGGGTGGTTCATGGCCTCTGGGGGGACTGAGGGCACTAGTGGGGGTCACGTGCTCAGCCCCTGCACCTCCCGAGGTGTGGGAGTCAAGCACTGGGCTCTCCCGGGTGACCTGAGCCTCGTGCCAGCCATCCAGGGCAGGGGCTGCGACCTAACGGGGCGGGAACACGGTGGGGGCTCCAGAACACCAGCAACCTGTCAACTGCGCCTCTTCCGCAGGGCACTCAGCTTCCACCTGCTGGACGTCTGCTGGAATCGGCACAGGAGGCCGGGGAGGGGAGGGAGCACCAGCGAGGCTGCCCCACCCTCCCCCAAGGAGCCTCCTTCCCTGCGGGAGGTCAGTGGAGTGCTCCGATCAGAGCACGCGCAGGCTCTAGAACTGCCACGGCTGCCCGCGCCCCGCACAGAAACGGCTGCCTCCTGGCCTGGTGATCACAGCTCCGCTCTCTCAGCCCCGCCCACCTACCCAGGTCTCTCCCACTCCACGCCACAGAGGTCTGGCCACTTTGCAGGCCTTCCGCCTAACCCACACTCCCACGTGTCTGTCAAGACCCAGCCCACCGGGCCTCACCCAGCTTGGCCACGCACCGTCACCCCTCACACGTGCGGGGCCAGACCGCTCCCTTACGGACGACAACAGGGACAGATCACCGAGCACCGCCACACCCGTGCCCAGCGCCGTGCTGCGGGCCTGACCCCACGACCTCCCGCACGCCTCGCAGTCTCGGAGGCGAGGCCAGCGCTGCCTCATCTCAGGGGGAGCGGAGGCTCGGGCAGGTCAGCCAGGCGTCGGGGCCACACGAAGCCAGTGGCCGAGCTGGGTCCCAAGTGCAGGGCTGACCGCGCCGGCACGATCCTCTTGCCCATGACCGTGAGCCCTCGAAAATGAGGACGGCCTGTCGGCCCCAAGGATCCCTGGGCCTCAGGCGGTGGAGATGCCAGCAGATAACTGCTGACAGTGTGCGTTCTGGCCAGGACCCTTGAGACCCCTGAAAGGGATGCGGAAGAGCCCCAAGTTCCTACATGCAGCACCGTGTGGGGGTGCGGCAGCCCACACCTGGGGTCCCGGAACTCTGCCCCCTGCCCCCAACCAAGCTGACCCTGGCCTTCCAGGAGACACTGGAGCTATGCGGCCAGGGCGTGCCGAGCTGGCGGAGAGGGGCTGTCCAGGGCTGGCAGTGTAGGGAGCCCACTGCGGGGGACTTCTAGGGCCCAGGAACCACCTGCACCCCTCCCCCTGACTCCCTCAGGGCCGGGTTCAGCCTGGGAGCGATGGGATGAGGATGAGGGGACAAACCGAGAGGGTGAGCAGGGAACAACCCAGCAGCTTCCCACCCCACCCCCACGCCCACCCCAGGGCCTCCTCAAGCCCCCAGCTCCAGGCCCCTCTAACTGCTGCGACTCCGAGGACCAGAAGCACTTCTGGGAGGTTCTGACGTCATGTGCAGCAGGAGGCCCCAGGAGGCCAGGTGTGAACAGCCAGGTGGCCTGGGACGGGGCAGTGACAGGGCCCCTCGGCCCAGGCTGGGGACAGCAGGTACCAACTGGACCCCATTTGCCAGGCTGGTTCTAGGACAGGAAGTCCTATGTTCTGGGAAGCCCCCTGCCCTGGGCAGAAGGTTGGTGGTGACAGA